TTAAAATTTTTATCTGATATTAAAAATTATTTTTAAAAGTTGCAGGCAAATTTGGCTGCAATACAATTTAAGGGATATGACTTAGGTTCTCTCGAGATATGTATAACCTAACATATTATGAGTATGCAGAGCTCTAGTTAATCTTAGAAGTATATCTACTAGAGTGGTTTATGCTTATTTTACAAATTCACTTAGCTTAAACTCTTGTGATATTCATATAACCTCAGTTCTTACTGTGGCTCTCCACTAGTATCTATATTTTCTCTTTTAGGATATTTTATAAGACAGATCTTTCCAAATCTAGTTAGCTACTAAGCCAAGTTAGTGTTGCTAATTCTCTCTGTAGAATAACTTACTTGCACCTATCTTGATCTATACCTTTTTTAACAGTATCTCTTACTGATCAAGTATTAGCTAATGTAACTGTCAAAAACTATACTATTTCATCAACTCAGAGTTTTACTATAAAGGTTTCTGTTTATAAATCCTATTAAGATTTATTCATATAATATTATATCATGTCATACTTCCAATGTTCGATCAACTTAGTACAACTTATTTACAGGGTTACAACTTAAGAAACAAACAGGTTTACTATAAGTTGAATATAAAAGTCTAAGTAATTATTCAAATTTATTAATAGTAGAATTTGAACTTCAGACCCCTTACATAGCAGTCTGGCAATCTAGCTACTACACTAAGATCACTAAACCTTTTTTTTTATTTTTCTATCTAGTATAGTTTATTTTAATCTGTAACAAATTTTTTTCTAATCTAAATATTTAGTATAGATCATTGCCACTCAAATATATATAATTATTTATTTTTTATTTTTTTTTTCTTCCTTTTTACAATAGTTAGATTCTATTTATTTTTTTTTTTTGAGTAATACCTTAGGAGTAGAATAATTTGGTACTGACTAGTATAGTCAGAACAAGCTGCAGATGCTAACCTTTGATTTCTAATTCAGAAACTTTAAAATAAATAAAAAGTTAGAGTTAAGTAAAACTCTGATATAGCAGGTTACTTATAGGTATCATTTGAGTAACCAGAGAAATTATACTTTTGATAAATTATACTTAATATATATTAGATTTTAGTAGGAAGCATCTAAATCTCAAAATCTTTAATAAAAAAATTGTGATCTGACTGCTGAATGTTAAAAAAAAAAAAATAAAATTTAGTTATATAATAACAAAAATTTTAGCTATGTTATAAGATATATATATAACTAAAATTTTGCATACAAACTTTAAATTTAAATTGTGAAAAATTTAAAAATTATTGTAATATACAAGTTTTACAATCTAGTTTCAAATCTAATATATAGTAATATATATTTTGGTATATTCAAAACTTTTTTAAATATATCAAATATCCAAATATCCAAGCATTTAAAGTGTCTAAACTATCTATAGCCTTAAGTATTTTAGAAATACAAATAAAAATTATATGATTATACTCTTTGTTTAATTTTAAATATTAAAAATTTGAATAAGTTATTTTAATAAAATTTTATTTTATTTTTTTTCCAAAATAGCCAAAATATCCAAAATCTTATTCAAAGACTACCTATATACAACATTGCTAGTATATATTGTGTTATAAATTAAGTAGTAGTCCGCAGTTAAAGGGTATAAATTTCATAGTAAAAATTGACGCAGTAATACTAATTGTAAAATACGGTAAATATTAATAAACGCAAATTATGCGAATCATAATCATGAATAAATACTCTACGTAGTGACTGCTTGAAGATTATGCACATAATCAAATTTTGTTATTCTCGCAACCAAATTATCAATTGAATTTCGAACATATATTAAAAACTTTTCTTAAAACATAAAGTTTACATAAAATCAAAAAAAAAATTATGACATTATAATTTTAATACTGTAATTTGAAATATTAAACAAGTATATAAAACCAAAGTTCTTTTTTTTTTTGTAACTAATAATAAAAAATGAAATTTCTACTGTGTTCAAATGCGAAAATAATAAAATTCAAAAGAAAAAGAATACTAATTCCCATACAAATCCATTATACACACCTGAAAAAGGAATGTATAATAATCTTTATAGTAAATAAGTTACAAAATGATCAAATAACCTTTTTTGTACATCAAATAAAGAGAATATAAGATAGAACCAATTTATTAGACCATCGATATTAAACACATCAAGAATGAAACGTATTCCCATAACTGTGATAACCGCTGGACCTTTGCCTCGGAAACTCTCGTGAAGAAGGGAACCCACCACCAAAACCTGAAGGAAACCCGCCTCTTGGTCCACCAGAACCCATGTTAGAAAAGTTATCACTATTCATAAACATTTGGAAGAATAGATTAGGATCGACGGTATCAAAGTCCATTCCACAATTAGGTCCATCAAGATCTACACCAGAATCATATCGTTGTTTTTTGACGGGATCACTAAGAATAGCATAAGCCTCTCCAATCTCTTTGAATTTAACTTCTGCCTCCGAATCACCACAATTTTTATCCGGATGATGTTGAAGTGCTGCTTTTCGATAAGCTTTTTTGATGTCACTTTCGGATGCATATTTTGAAATTCCAAGGATTTTATAATAATCTTTACGAGATGCTTTTTTCAATTCTCGCTCGGCATTATGTAATTCCCTACGAAGTTCCTGATTAGTACTATCAATTTCTAAGGCAGCTTTTAAATCTTGTACTGCTTCACTATATTTTTCTAGTTTCATATAGGTATCAGCTCGTCGTTTTAAAACTTTAACAAACGCTGGATCTAACTCTAATGCCTTATCCATATCTTTTATCGCCTCTACAAGTTTTCCCTGTTTTACTAAAACAGCTGATCGGTTCGAGTAGAGTTTAGAATTTGTGTTTTTATTCTCAGGATCAATTTCAAGTGCTAAAGTGTAAATCTCATATGCTTTATTGAAATCTTCTTTTTTGAAAGCTTCGTTACCAGCATTTTTTTGTGACTCAATTAATTTTGCTTTCTTTTAAATAAAAATAATAATAATGTAAGTATGTAAAATGGTAAAAAAGAAAAAAGAAAAATTAAATAAATTCAAAATTTTAAAACCTTTACCTTTAATAAAATTCTTGCTTTTGAATGATCAGGATCACAACGTAATGCTTCTTGACAATGAGCCGCGGCCTTTTGATTATCACCTTCTATATATAATATACGAGCTCTTAATACATGTGCGTCGGGATTTTGCTGATCTCCACGCAGTATTTCACTGAGTTTAAATAAACGGATTTATTCATTCATTCGAATGATTATGAGATTGTATTCCATGTGATCAGTATTCCTCTAATTGATGTGAATGTGGATTGACACATTTCCTAGTATGGTCATATTATGATGAAAATAATTTAAATTTTCTTACTTGGCTATCCTGCTTGCTTCACCATATTCATTTTGTTCCAGTAAAGTTTCAGCTTTCATTATTTTCCATTTTGTAGGAATTTCATCCAAATAAGAAGATACATTATTAATCAAACTTGCTGCAAAGGCATATTGTCCATTTTGTAAACAAAATTCAGCCTGGTTAATAGAATTTTGCACTTTTTGCAATTGTTGATATTCGGAAATTGCTTGTTTATTGTTAGGTTCAGCATTTAAAACTTTGGTATACCACCGATCCGCCTCTGTAAGATTACCGAGTGTAAAATTACATTTTGCACCACGAAGAAGTGCTTTGATCGATGTTGGATCTAAAAGTAATGCTTTTTGACAGTCATCAAGTGCAATCTTTGGTTTTTTCAACATCATCAAAGCAGCAGCACGGTTTGTGTAGAATGTAGGTGAAGTTTGATCTAGTTCTATAAAAATTATAAATAATATGTTTTGTTAAAATATTGGTGAAAAAAGGCAAAAAAAAAAAAAAAAAAGAGGTTGCTTATTATTCAAATTAATTACCAATTGCACGGCTGTATAGCCGAATGGCATTTTCATAATTTTTAGCTTTATACTGTTCGTTTGCCATCATTTTGACATCGTCAGCTGAATGCCTTAATATTAAAAAAACCACGGAAATTAGCTTTATAAACTTGAGTTAAAGAGCCATATAAAAATTTGGACTACTCAAAACACCAAAATTTAAAGAATTAATATTATTGTATATTCCTTCAATAAATACATAGGTGCTACTATACATTTAAAAGTAATTTGACGTAACATTATACTAGCATTAAGAAAAAGTGACTCGTTTATCATAATGGTCTCTTCGGCTCTTATAAAATATCGCATAAACTTTGTGAAATAATTAATTTTTTCAGGTAAGCCTTATACAACTTTTAGTAAGCTATTTGGGAAAAGTAATTTACCAACGAAGGTTTCTTGCGCAGATCGCATTTGTTCACATACATGACATAAATTATTTTGGCTTGGCCGAAGTAGACTTTCAATATAAATTTCGGAATATTTCGGTAATCTCATAATCAAACGTTTCCGACCAAGTCGAAGTAGTTTCTACGTCATGTATAGTTCTCAAACATAAAGAAATTAAAGTACTCACATAGCTTTGTCGCTATTCTCTACTTCGATTCCGTTGTGCATACTAACAGGTTTTAACAAAAATTACGAGTGGATGATAAAAAAAATATTAAAAAAAAAAGCCAAAAAAAAAAAAAATTATAGCCGTCTGACGAGATTGTTATATATAAATTTCTTTTCTCTTTAACACATAAAGTATCGAGACCCCCTTTTGGGAATAAGTCGAACACATCATACAAATAACAAGGTTTTGAACTGCACACAGATCGAAGCGCATAGAAGGTAAGAGAACAATTTAGCAAGCGATTCACGGGTTTTATGACATGTGATATATTCATGTGTGATATTGCATCAAAATTTATTTGAGAACATTCAAGAAGGTTCTTTAAAAAAATTTTTTTTTTTTTTTTTGAGAACATAAGGAGTTCAAATAAATTATATTAAAATAATTTAGCAAGCCTGTCTTGAGCTCAAGTTAAAGTTGTAAAGAATATTCTAAATTAATTTCTGTAGATTTACTTTATAGTTAAAAATATATACGTACCAGATATATCTCATTGTATGTTACTAAAAGTTACTAAACTGATTTGGTGTTTTATAAAACTATTTAACATTAGAACAATTCCTTCTACAACTTGAGAGCTCAAGATATAAAATTTTTGTTTAAATCATTAGTGCAACTTTTACACTATTTCTAAATTTATATGACGAATATATATTTAAATTAACAAAAGAGAGATGTATAGTTTAATAGAAGCGTCATTTAGTAATTTGGCCCAATTCCAAAAAGAGTTAACGAGTAGGGAATTTTTTATTACGTAATTTGACTATTCGACTTAATCATCACATGTTTTAAAACGGTGAAAAATGTTTTATCGTTATCATAAAACGTTTTTTTAGTACGTATCGGTATGAAAACCAAATTATGAATTGCTAAAAAGGGAAATACTAACCGAAATAAATTAGGAGGTAAAAAAAAAAAAAAAAAAAAAAAAAAAAGTATCGGTATTTCCCAATTCTTATATACGGTACACTTTAAACCGATTCATCCGAAAACGATAAAAAGAAAAAATTACAATGTCAAACAATACGAAGCGTAAGCCCATTAGGTGATTTTTCAAATTATGTATAATATCGACCAAATTCTCGGTAACTGAAAAACTTTGTCTTATTGAGTATGAGGATTTGAAATTCTCTGGTTAGCATTACTTGAATGTGTTCATGTAAATTAAATGTTCAAACGAATGTAGGGTATGGGTGGATGGCTGCTTTGATATGATGCACTATGGTCATGCTAATGCTTTACGTCAGGTAATTTTCTACAGTCAAAATTTGTTCTCATGTATCGATATAACACTAACCGAATAAATAAAGGCGAAAGCCATGGGTGATTATTTAGTTGTCGGTGTTCACTCTGACGCCGAGATTGAAAAACACAAAGGACCAACTGTCATGAAGGAGGATGAGAGGTATTGTTATTATTTTCATATTATATAATTAGTAACTAGTAATTTTGAATCCTTTCATTGACAAATGTCACTTTATATATTCCATTAGATATACAGCTGTTGCAGCTTGCAAATGGGTTGATCATGTTGTTCCCAACGCTCCGTACTTTACAAGCCTCGAAGTAATGGACAGTTATGCTTGCGATTTTTGTGTACATGGTGATGATATCACCACGCTTTGTGATGGGACAGATTGTTACCAAGCGGTCAAAGATGCTGGTCGTTACCGAGAATGTAAACGTACGCAAGGCATTTCTACTACTGAACTTGTAGGGCGTATGTTACTCATGACGCGTGATCATCACAAACGTAAATCATCTATTGCATCTGTCAATAATGAAGATTTGAGCACCTTCAGCAGTAGTCCATCTAAGCAAAGTCCTGAGACAAAAATTTCCCATTTCCTGCCGACATCAAGAAAGATAGTACAATTTTCTGAAGGCAAGGAACCAAATCCCGGAGATAAAGTTATTTATGTCGACGGTACTTTTGATCTGTTCCATGTAGGACATATCGAATTTTTGAAAAGAGCAAAAGCCCTAGGTGATTACCTCCTAGTTGGGGTTCATGATGATCAGGTGATTTTAAAGGATTGAATGTTTCATTAACAAAATTGTTGCACTAACGTGTCTTATTAACTATATTATGCTATCGTTTTATACTGTCAACAGACCGTTAATGCTATTAAGGGATCAAACTATCCACTAATGAACCTTCATGAACGCGTATTAAGCGTTCTGGCATGTCGTGTGAGTTTTATCTTTAAATCAAGTTTTCTAAATTTAAATTTAAATTTAAATTTAAATTTTTTTTTTTTTTATATATAGTATGTTGATGAAGTCATTATAGGGGCTCCATACAGCGTCGATAATAATGTATTATCCAAGGTTTACAAAGTTGACGTTGTCGCTCACGGAAATACGCCTTCATTGCCTGATATTACCAATAAAGACCCTTATGAGGTGACCTTTGGTTATTTCGCTGTTTAATTATTTATGATCGATCCTAATTTATAATTATTTTGTTAGATTCCTAAAGAAAAAGGCATTTATGTTGAAATAGAAAACCCCTCCGCGGAGCTAACTACTGCTGGCATAATTAATAGGATAATCAAACATCGTATCAGGTTTGAATTTAATATGTGATAAATTAGATTTTAGTTTTCCATATAAATCACTAATTGTTCATTATTAGATACGAAGAACGCCAAGCTAGGAAAAATGAAAAGTCCAAGTTGGAAGAGGAGAAATTGAAACAAAATTAACTTGATTCATTTTTTTTTAATGTGATTTTTTTCATTAATGTTTTAATAAATTTATCTATCATTATAATAATTATTCTGTAAAATCTAAAAAAAATAAAAATAAAGATTTAATTAGAGAAATGTCGGAAATTACATAGTTTTTACCATACATAAATGGGGTAGGCTAGTCTATTAGTTAAATTAGAATTAATATACATGGTTAGAGGTGCTTTTAAGTAAAAAGATATTACGTGATAAAATGGCACGCCTCTTACTCCTTTAAATATTTTTCTTAAATTTAAAAGTTATTATATCTGTTATAGTTTTATATTATTAGATGAGTGAGTAAAAAATATATATTAGATATAGCCAACACCAAATTTACGTATTACTATAGTATCTGTTTTAAGTATCAAAAGTATTTATACTGTATAGTTAAAATGATATTTATAGTTATAAATTATCTTAAGTACTAGCAAAATTAATCTAGAATAACAAGTATATATATATATTTTTTTTTTGAAATTAAAATTATAGTTTTATTTTTTTTTGTTAAGATAGTTTATATTGCAGAATTTTATTTATTTATTTATTTATTTTGTTATTAAGGCAGTTTACTTTGTCAAGTGGATTTTATTAGTTGGTATATAAGATCGTCTGTTGACAATCTTTTATAGTTTGTAATTACATAAAGAGTATACAACCTATCACATATACAACTTTAGTCATTGTCTAATTTAAGTAGTCTGCTATACAAATAGATTACCTGTTTGGTTTTACACAAGCTGTATATCTGTAACCTGCTTGTGAGTTATCTATTTAAACACTCTGTTCAACTAACTTATATTGGAATCAACTAATATTACTATAACATCTAACCTTTAAGCCAGCTAGCTCATTACAGATCTATTTATCTAACTTAGCTTAGATTATTTTAGAATATTTATTACTTAACATATTATAAGTACATAGAGCTCTAGTTAACCTTGTAAGCATATCTACTAGAATGATTCATATCTATTTTACAAGTTCACCTAGATTAAACCTTTATGATGTTTGCATAATCCTAGTTCTTACTATAGCTTTCTACTAATGTTGTTTGCTAATTTCTTTAGATATTTAATAAGATAGATCCTCTTAATTTAGTTAGCCACCAAGTCAGATTAGTATTGCTAATCTTTCTGTAAACAGATTTACTTGTATCTAACTTAATCTAAATCTTTTGAATGATAGTTTCTATTCAGATCAAGTGTTAGCTAGTGTAATTGTTAAAAGCTATACTACTTTACCAACTCAGAGTTTCTACTATACAGGTACTCTATCTGTAGATCCTATCAAGATTTATTTGTGCAATATTATATCATACTTCTAATATCTGAATGATATTGGTGTAATGAGATTTACAGAATTACAACTTCAGAAACAAATAGAGTTTATCATAAATTAGATACAAAGGTTCAAATATTATTTAAATTTGTTAACAGTAAAATTTGAACTCCAAACCTCTTGCATAGTAGTCTAGTAATCTAACCACTATACTAAGATCATCAAATCTTTATATTTATTTATTTATTTATTATTACAATTTGTATTTTTAATTGAGTTATTGAAAATATATTTATACTATTATTTTTTTTTTTTTTTTTTTTTTTTTTTTTACTTAGGCGATCTTGCCTATCATTTATTAAGAGAAAACATATAAAATGTTACAACAAAAATATAAGCTAAACTAATTTAACTATAAAAATGCCCTCTTTATATAATTTAGGACTCACTCAGCTGCCTAAAGTGCTCAGGTGTATTTATACTATTATTAAATAGAGCTATATAGTTATAAGATTAAGAATTTTATAAAATATAAAAATATTATTAAAATAAGTTGTATTGTTAAAAATATATTTATACTATTATTAGACTATACAAACTAGTATTTTGGTTCTTAATATAAAATTTTAAAAGATATTCTAGTAATTTAGCTTTTAATTTTTTTTCAAAAAATTTTATATATAAAAAACATATATAAAATTTTTTTATATATTTTTGAAAAATTAATTTTGTTATTAAAACTACTTCCTTGGCTGATTAGATTTTATTAGTTTATTATTACAGAACTATTACATGAATAGTTTCTTAAAGTTTTATAATTATATGATAAGTATATAACAAGCTACATATATAACTAAAGTCATTGTCTAATTTAAGTAGTCTGCTATATAGATAATTGACTATCTGTTGGTTTTATACTATGCTGTTATATCTGCAACTCACCTGTAAATTACCTATTTAAACACTTTGATCATTAACTCTTCTCCTCATCTTAAACTAATATTACTACTATATCTAACTATTTAAGCCAGCTAACTTATATGTAGATCTATTTATCACATAGCTTAGGTCCTCTTGAGATGCATATTGCTTAACATATTATGAGTATGCAGAGCTTTAGTTAACCTTAAAAATAATTCCTACTAAAGTTCATATACTTATTTCATAAATTCATCTGGCTTAGACCCTTGTCAATATTTGTATGAACTCAGTTCTTGCTATAGCTCTCTACCAGATATAGTTCTCTAAGTTCTAGTCAGATATTTTATGAAATAGATCCTTCTAATTTAGTTAGCTGCCAAGCTAAGTTGGTGTTGCCATTTGTAGTTAGTATCAGGCTGTAGATTCCCAATAATCTTATTTGTATCTATCGATCTTATATCCTTTATACTTAGATTTTTTCACTAGATTAAGTGTCAATTAGCTTAACTGTTAAGATTTGTACTACTTCACCAAATTCAGGATTTCTACTATACAGGTACTCTGCTCATAGATTCTATCAAAATTTATTCATACAATATAACTCGAATATTGCATTATACTTCTAATATCTAATTAATATTGATATAATATGATTTACAGAGTTATAACTCTTAAAAATGAACAAAGTTTGCTGTAAGTTAAATACAAAAGTTCAGATAATTATTCAAATTCATTGACAGTGAGATTTGAATCTTAAACCTCTTGTATAGTAGTCTGGCAACCTAACCACTACACTAAGATTACCAGATCTTAAAAAATTAATTTAAATAGTAGATCTGTATATCATTTGTACTAAATTTAACCAAAAAAATTTTTTATAAAAACCAAATTTTCTCAACTTTTTATTAATTAAACTGAGTAAGTACTCTTAAGTAAACTTGCTCAGCACTAAACTTTACATTTAGATAGTCTTGTTTTTAAAAATTTTAGCCTCTTCTTTAATACTTTACTATCACAAATAAAAAATAAAATATTTACTTCAAATACTTGAAGTTTACTCAATAACTGCCTTCTAAACCCTTTTTATACTCTTAAGAAAAGTTGTTGATCTAGTCTTTCTGATCATAACAAGCTATATTTTATTAAAATAGATACAAAACTAAGTTTTTTAGATCTTAAAATAGCAAAATTTTTTAGAAAAATACCAAAAAAAATATTTCCTTTTGTCTTAAAATCTCTAATTTTGATAATCCAACAAAATTTTTAAATTTGTAAAAATCAAACCTTGTATTGACCTATATTAACCATCTAAATTAGGCTGTTTTTAATTAAATACAAATTAAAAAATTAAAATTAGAATACTACAATTTCTAAATTAGCCTTATATAAATTCTATTTTTAAATTAATTAAATACAACCTATTTTTAGTCAAATATTAATACATCATATTATACTTATGATATATTTTAATCTTCACATCACATTTGTAATATATTCCTAATAATTATACTCATAATTATCACTTTGTGACATATTTTATTTGTTATATCTTCTTATTTGTCATATCCTACAATTTCTATAATTATTATTTAATTCTTCAACTTATTATTTTCTTATTTATTATACCTCTAAAATTAACTATTTATTTTTGAAATTAGAATACTGCTTTGCCAACAATGCCAACTCTTATTAATACAGAACCAGACTCTTATGATATTGACTACTTCTATAGCAAATACAAGAATTGTTATAGTATTAGTATGTCTGAACTAAAAGAAAAAACTCTATATATTCTTCCTATAGGAGTTTAACTAACAATTTGTGAAGTTAATAATTTAAAAAAATAAAACTACTTCAAAGTACAAACTCAACTTCAAATTATAACTTATCTTTGCAATAAATATTATACTAGCTTTACTTCATGTTATTACAAAATCTCTTATTCACCTTTTACTTTTAGGTCCCTATAGATATCTTATTAAATATTTTAACAAAATAGTTTAATAGAATTACTAAAGAATTATTTTCTTTACTTATTCTTAAAAAACAAAACCTCTCAAATACCAAAATTCTCTTTCCACTCTTCCAAACTAATACTACTCTGACAGAAATTATTAACATTATTATACTTGCATTTTATATAAAAATAAAAATATTCTTTATGTATTCCTTCAAAATATCAAGCATATATCAAACTATATACAAGCAGCTTTATTTAAGAACAAGCTAATTTACAGAGCTTGTACTTAATACTTGCAAAATATTAAAATCAAACTCTTAAATCAAACTTAACTACATACTCAATCTCAATATGCTGTCTCTTATCTAATCAAAATAATCTTACTATCAAAAGAATCAAAAAAAATTCTCTACAAATATTTTCTAATTAAACTTGTAAAAAAACCTAAAGATTAATAACAGAATAAAACAAACAAAAATATAAAGAAATCTAAAATCAAAAAAACTCTTCAAGTTTAAAAATTTCAAAAGAATCTAAATCCAAACTAACTTTTAACTAGCTTGCTAATTTTCTAATAACTAAAAAAATAAAAGCAAATACAAAATTTTAAACCAAACTATATGTTAAACTTTTCAATTTTATAAAATCAAATCTAACTAACTTCTTTTCTAAAAATTATTATTCAAATATCTTATTCACTTAATAACTAGTCAATAACTAAAATTTCTTACAGATCTAATTTACAAAACAAACTTACAAATTAACTTAATTACTACTATTTATTTCGATTTCTTGGAATCTACTCTTAAAAATC